GGAATGGGGAAAGAGGAAAGGAAGGGATCCGCCGGGAATATAAAATAGATGGATCAGTGGGGAGTGGAGAAGGAAAGGTGAATCACTTCGAAGAAGTTTTAATTGCGTTTAACAGTTGGGAAAAAAAAGGTTAAATATCTTTAATTTAGGTGCATTTATAGTGGTGTGTTTTTATATTTCTGTCTTCTTTGTTTCATTTGTAAACGGGGAAAGTAAGTTTTTAGTTTCGATTTTCTTCGATTGTTTTCTATTTTACATTTCGTAATGGTAAGTGGAGAAAGACGTTAAATATGTTTAATTTAGGTGCATTTATAGCGGTGCTTTTATATTTACGTTTCTTTCTTCCTTTTTTTTTTTTCTTTTACCTTCTAAGTCGGGAAAGGAAGTTTTTAGTTTCCATATTCTTAAATTGTTTTCCATTTGAAATTTCGCAAGTAGGAAGCGGAGAAAGAAAGGTGAATCGGTTGGAAGAAGTTTTAATTGCGTTTAACAGTTTGAAAAAAAAAATTAAGCATCTTCAATTTAGGTGCATATATAGCGGTGTTTTTTTTTTCTTTTTTGTTTTGCCTTCTGAGTCGGGAAAGTAAGTTTTTAGTTTCGATATTCTGAAATTGCTTTCTGTTTGAAATTTCGCAGTGGCGACTGGAGAAAAAAAGATGAATCTGTTCTAACAAGATTTAATTGCGCGTAACAATTCGAAAAGAAGGTTAAATGCGTTTAATTTATGCGCATTTATAACGGTACTTTTACATCTTTGCACGTCTTTCTGTAGTTTCTAAATCGAGAAAGTAAATTCTCCAGTTTGATATTCTTCAATTAGTTTCTGTTTGAAATTTCACAAGAATTTCGTACTCTCCGCTCTAGTGATCCACTTGAAAGATGGAACTTTACTTTAATTATAGCCTGAGGGAAACTAAATTTGTCTAAATTGATGTTATTTATAACAATACCTAAAATAGATCATTTTCTAATTGATAAATATAAATCTATCTTTCGAATTTCTAGTTTCATAGAACTTCTGTTCTACAGCTATAATTCATCGCGTGGTTATCACATTTGGACTAAGAACGACTAATGAAGTTGTTTAACTAAGGTCCTCTAATTATATCAAGCGTAGTAATCGAACCTGAGGAACATTGTCTTGATAAGTCGAGTTCGCGAAAATTTGAACAAGCTGGTTCACGTAATCGCGGCAATTCCACCGTAATTAAGCATTCAAGGAACAGTGATTAATGGCGTCGACACGATGGTGAACAGACAGCCTTGAAGGTACCCTAATAATAGAGAGAGCTGGTGGATCCACCGAATTTTGCATCGGCTTTGTCTCTAATCCAAAAAGGACGCTCTATTAAACTGTTTCCAAGGCCTCCTCAACGTCGTAACCATTCTGCCAAATAAATTTATGTCATCTGTTCCAATTCCTAATCGAACGAGTTTTGTCTCCTCGAATAATCCAGTTATTTCATCCGTTATTATATCAACCAACAATACGATACAAAAAGAATATTTCAAACGTTTCTTCTTTTCGTCGTTATCTTTTAAATCGAAAATTGACTAAAAAAAGAATTCTACATTTTTTCTAGGTTATGTATAGAATATTTTAGATAACGTTTTGTTTCGATTGTTTGAAACGTGTTTTTGGAGCAGTTGAATTGCCAAGGATGACAAAATTAGTCATAGTTGATACGTAAACGAGTACGAAAATAGTGGGACGTGATAATGTTTTTTTATCGGTACTTTCGCGATTGTGACGCGTCTTCAAGGTTGTAGGTTATAATCGATGCGTAATGTGTCAACTGGGAGACTTTGTATGGGCAGGTACGTGATATAATATGCTACGTAACTAAGCATGAGCGGAATCATGAAATGTCAGCTCGTATTCTGAACGCTTTTTACATACTGTTCTAGCCGAATGATTTCATCTTCAATTTAAGGTTTCGAGAAATAGTTAGATTATTAGCGAAGAGTGTTCGAGGTAGAAAAAAATATTTTTTACTACAATTTTATATTAATTTGTCAAAGGTACTATATATTAGCTATATTTAGATGAGTAATGCGTGTAAAATGCGTTCTAATAAAAATTTCACGTGAAAAGGCATCTGTTTTACCTATTGAAATTCCAATTTATTCTATCTATCGTTGAAAAAAACTCCATCTTCATTTCCAACTCCAAAATGCATTCTTCAAAGAATTGCAGAACAAAGTCTCTTTGTTAACATCATTTTCAAAATTCAAAATTCTAATTTATCTCCTCTGTACCGTTAAAAATAGCTCCATCCTCATTTACAACTTCGAAATACGTTCTCCGAAGAATTGTAGAAATTTCACGTGAAAAATGGACTTCCTTTGTAACATGAATGTTATCTATTATAATTCGAATTTATCCTATGTGTCATTAGAAAAAAAACTCCATCTTCACTTCCAACTCTGTACGGCAAACAATTCTCGCACGATGGATTCTGAAGGCCAGAATTGAACGTATTGAAATGCATATAATTGTTTCTCTCCTCCAGACGCGTCCAACTGTTAAAAAAGTTCAATCAGAGTCACAGTTGAAACTCATCCGGACTACTCCACACTGTATTCACCAAAGAATGAAAAAGAGCGACGGAGACACTGCTGTCCGCAAGTGTCACGTGTATAGAGAAAAGGACAGAGAGAAACGAACGGGTGCGGTTTGGCGGTGGAAAATCAATAAGTTGTCTCCGGTAGTACGACGCCCGGCGTCGCAGTGCCGGCCGTTGCCTCGACGTCCCTTACTATTCCTAGAAATACACCTGCCAACGGATATTCTACCCTCTATCACCTTTCGTTTTTCTTCCTTTCTCCCCCATAGAAAATTAGACGTCGGGTCTTCAACTTGAAATTACAACCTTTCTCCTTCACATGAAACTCACCCTGTTATTATTATTATTATTATAAATTTCAGATTATTCATCGCTTTGGGGGACTACTTTTTTTTTTTAAGAGAAGAATTTTATTAAAGTGGAGGAGTTTTGCATATTCACAATTTTAGAAGAGCAGTAGTTCTTTTTTTAAAGAATTTTCAGTGAAGTGGAGAAGCCTTTGTTATCTATAAATTGAAGTTATTTGTTATTTGGAGAAACTGTTATTTCAGAAAGAATTTTCGGAAAAGTCTTCCATAGCCGTTTATTGAAGTTGTTCATAATTTTGGAAGACTGGTTTTTCTCCAAAGGAGAATTTTAGTGAGCATTTGTTACTTATAAGCTAAAACTATTTGTCATTTTGAGGAACTATTTCTCTAGGAAGAATTTGATCAAAATAGAGAAGTGTTTCATATTCATATATTGAAATTGTTTATCACTTTGGAAAACTGTTTGTTTTTTAAAGAATTTTACCGAAGAGAAAGAGTCTTTGGCATTTATAAATTGAAATTATTCGTCATTATTAGAGATTCATGATTTTATAAAAGTTTTCATTGAAGTGCAAAAGCCTATGTTATTCATATTTTAAAGAAGAATTTTACTACAATATTTAGAGCAATTTTTTCTTATCATCGTCGTATATTGTACGTGAAATTTTCTTCGCTAATTATAAATTGATATTAATCGTCGTTTTAGAAAATTATTTTTTTTAGGAAGAATTTTATTCAAGCGGAGAAGAATGACGTTTTTTAGGGCAATTCTGGGAGGGTTTGTTCTTTCTCTATGAAAGGGGGAAAATGAGCAACTCATTCGCAGTTTCCGGAGGGGAAGTGACGCATTGCGACAGTGGAGTGGTAGCTGTGTAGCTTCGGGCGAGAAAAGTTTTCCCCAGATGCTTGTGGTCGCGATCGATTCTCTAGTGATGAAATTTCACAAAGAATTCGATTCTTCTTGCGTAGCTGGACCGCGTCCAAGCGCTAAAAGTAACACTGTTTCAAAGCAAACAGTGCAATGCTCCGATCTTTGCGAGCGGTTCCAAGGGAACCTTCAATTTTCAACAAGATACCACACTCTAATTGTTATTTCTACCTGTTCTAATTACCAAATAATTCTCATCTTTCCAAATATCTCTTGTAAACGCAATTTGTCACAACAAAGAGATGAAAGATCGATGTCTGGTATTTGTCACACTCTTCTCTATGGCTTTTCAATTGGAATACCTTCGTCCTTTTACAGAATTACAACTTCCTCTAACAATATTAGGCATTTATCTTTAATTAACCAAATAATATTCAATTTCTGCCATTCATTTCACTTTTCTTTCCTATTTTCCAATGCCTAGCCTAATTCTAGTTGGCTTCCTAAACAGATGAAATTTTTCAACAAGTCTAATATCCAGTGTAACTCAAGAAATCCCAAAAACTATAATAATAAGTACCAAAGAAATCCTCTC